GAAATGGCGTAGTAGTTTTACCAAATTATAGTTTTGCCAAATTGAGTTTTACTGACAGAAGCTGATATTGACTTTTGATCGCTTTTTATCTACAACACCTGTCAGATACCAGCACAGGTGAGGATGATAATTTCACTGGGTTTAAATCTGGTTCGAGCTCAACCGACAAAGCCGAAGATGATGAACAGCCCAAATTTTATCCAAGAATCTCGCAAACTCACTCCAATAGGATCTTTGTTACCTCTGGTGTTGGTGAAGACAAAGGGGGCTCCAAACACGATGGCAGGTCACATTACAGCTCGGAGAATAGTGGAAACCAGGAGAACAACGAGGATTTTGGTTCTTCAATGGATCTTTCTAAAGGTTTGTCATTACATTTTCTGTTTCAAAGAGTTCTCACGATGATTGCAGTTGTTGCATCAGACTAGAGTGAGTGTTTCCGACCTAAGACGGCTCGGATGAAAATTAACGAATCTTTGTCCCGATTTAACTCACGCAGTTATACTAGTTAGGGGTTAAAGTCTCTAAATGTAAAGTGTTTTCTACCCATACATTGTGATTGCAGGATCTAGAGAAATTTACGGAAAAAAACCTTAATAACCAGGTTGATTGTTGGATCCTTTGTCACATCAAAAGGTCAAACGTGTTTAACACTGGTCTTCATAGTCCTCCCACAGGCATGGGCAGTTTTGCGCTTAAACACTTCTACTTTACATCAAGAGGCTACTATGTATCTCAATAACCTTGAATATGTTTAATAACCAATAAGTACTCCATAATTTTCTATTCTCCAGTTGGCGATGCAATCGATGTAATGAAAAGGCTTAAAAAGGGTAAGATTACAATGACAGAAATACCTTCCCAATAAAGTAACAAGATGTTTTTTTTATTTGTGTGAAAATCATGCCAAAAGAACCAGTCAAGTTATGTCTGAAACAGCTTGAAACGCCATAGCACATATAACTTGTTTTCATCAAAGAGAACAAATATGGTATGCTCTTATATGCCGACAATTCTCACAACCCACCTCCCCCTCCTCCCTCCTACCATTTTAATGCATATTCCTGGAAAAGTCTTTGGACAGAACCTTTATTGATTGAAGCATTTAACCGGTGTGGAAACTAAACTGACACGTGAGTCACATCAACCGAAATTTACTTTCGCAAGGAGGACGCAATGGAAGCCGAAACAATTTTTAACTTTGTTTCTACTCTTATGCCCTTGCAGAAATTACTTCCAACATTCAACATTTTAACGCTTAATTATTCTTTCCACAGCTAAATCAGATCAGGAGTTTGCCAAAAAGCTCAGATCAGGTAAGAAAACCAACCATTCAGCCTGTCCTTCTAATATTTGCATTATTGCCTGCATAAGACAACTCTGGTAAAGCACGAAGCATAAAATTATCTCAACCCAGTAAGCATGATAAGCTGTAACACCTGACGGTAATTTTTCTCTTTAAACGTAGGCCCTGAAAGCTTAGGCGTTGCTTTCAAAACGTTTGAACAACTTAGTGGTCTTTGGATATCAGTTATGCATAGAATATGGAGAGTTTGGAAGGCAAAAGGTAGGTAGGATTACTTGCGTTCCTCCGATAAGACTCGACGACTGCACGTAGTAATGACTACAACCAAGAGATAAACTCCGTTTAACAACAATCATGTATCAACCGACATATTACAAACTTTGCCAGACCTAGTCATATGCAGACAATAATGCAAAACGAATATTATCAAAATTGATGTAAGTGCATGAGGTAATAAACCCTTCCATCTTCTACCTTTGACCTCAAGCATTATTTAGATCCGTCATGACTTACTGGAAGATCGTGAAAATATACGTGATTTGATAACTGGGAGGTTTCTTTTTTTGGACGGTCATAAGTTAAAGTAGTAAAGGTAATCGAGGCTGTAATCCGCCACCATACTTGAATTGTACTGAATCAAATTCTAAATGTTTTAATGACAGGATTGCTTTAAAATTTTTGTTCAAACAAACAGGAGCCAAAGTGGTAATGCATTCGATCGTGAATGATATGGTACACAACACAGGAAGAGCAATCACACAGAAGTTGGGAAAAATGCTGAACAACACAATTGGTACGTACACCAAGATTTAATTATGATAATTATCTTTTAGTATGCTGCCTGACGTAACCGCGATGCTGTCTCGGAGCAACTTTTCCGTTGCTCACTACATTGACCAACCATTCAAAACATTTCTTAAATAGAGTCATCCTTTTTGAAAAAATGATTCTATGTTGCAGAGAGAATGTTGAGTAAAAGATCACACATGATGTCACAATTCAAAAATAATAAAGTAGCTGACATTTTACCGATCAATCTTGAACAAGTCCAAGGCAACATGGACAGCATTTGTTTTATTACAAACAGGTGGCTATCGATGATGTCATACACGGGCCTAACCCTTAAGAGATCATAGGCTAGAACCAATTGAGGAGTAAATACAATGCCGTAGTCTGTAAAGATCAAAAAGGAAATACAATCTACGATTGCTTCGAATTTAGCAACTTCTATACTCATTCAGTTATCCTTGATATTTCCTTGGTGCAATTCATTAAGGGTGTTTGAAAAGAAAATTCCTATAAAGTGTGATCGTAATGCTTGGGTGAGGCGATTCCAATAACCTGAAATATGCATGATTATTGGCAATAACAGATGTGAACATGAACAGCAGTGGGTCAGCAGCTTTTGATAAAGACGACGGTTCAACGGAACCCGAAAAGAAGCACAGAATAGACACAGTTCACCATCAAACAGGTAAAATCATAAGAAAAGCTCATCCTTCCCTTCATTGTTAAGGAAATCTTATTCATCATGTTTAAAAATGTAAAGCTATCCCTGTTCATAAAATTTAAATATACATAAAACTTTTTTAATAGGAATATCAAATCAGTAGGATCCAAAACAATCCTTTCGTTGAATTCTCTTTGATTTTTAGATCTACCAGTTCAAAGAGTTAGTATTGATTTTATCAAGAACGTTTCAAGCATAGGGAGGAAGTCGTCTCATACGAAACGTAAGTTGAAATCCTCTGACTGAGTGGCAGGAAAGTTTCCGTTCTTAAATGATCTGCCATACAGACCTTTGCTTTCACTGCATCTTTTTTAAAACATGTTTCCTCGTGGGATACGTCGTTGCCTAATGGTCAGTGGATCTAGAGCTCGTAGCTCAAGCTCTGGCCGGGTCAATGTGTTGTGCACTAAAGCATAAAATTACTTATCAGCTTTCAATCTTTCAAATCGCATAATTTGACTTATTATGCCCTTTCTCCCAATGGATAACCTTGGGATTAGAACACCTGCCACTTCTTATCCTTGCAATGATCATTGTTTTTTAAATGTGTAAATATTCAATTTCAGCCATTAAAGAACCAGAAGAGAAAGTAAAGGTGTCGTTTTTAAAGAGGAACATGAATGAATCCAAACCGAAGCTAAAATCTGAGACTCACAATTTAATGAAGAATACCATGTCTGTCATCCAGAAAACGTCAGAGGAGAAAGAAAATAAGAACTTCACTTCCATTCGTGACAAATCAGAAACTCGTTCTACTTTGGTGCCTAAAATTACACTTCCCGTCTCATTAACAAATGGTGAAGAAAAAAGATCGAGTACTAATAACACCTTGGTGATCATTAACAAAGAGAATCACAAAAACGTTGACGCGGATTCAGAGAGAAGTAAATCTGACCCTCGTAAGGGAGAGATACAGAAAGAAAAGCAACATATTAAAATTGTTGATGTAAAAGAAAGAGAAAATAACTCTTCAAAAAAGTCTAGTGGTGACTCATTGAGAAGAGATGATGAAAGTCGCCCTGAAATAAAGTTACGCGGTGAAGACAACAGCGCACGGGGCGGAGGGGGGAAAAGGCCTGAGGAACTCGTAAAACCAGCGGTAAAGCAACTAAGTGCAATCAATAAAGCGACAAACGATGACCAAAGAGATCAAAACAACACAAATAGTTTCTTTCCTAAGAGGAAAGTTAGTCAAAATAAGGTAAACACATCGCGAAGCGAGATGGAGAGAGTGAAAAAGTCCGGAAAATCCACAGCATTGGAAACAATGAGGATAAATTTCTTGAAACGAAATAGGACTTCACTTTCAGATCCTAAAACCACTCTCTCTTATGTCATTGGTTCGGAAACACGAGGCAATAATGTTTTACCAGCACTGCTCAACACATCCAACACTCCTCTGCATAACAAGTCTATTTCTACAAATGATTCATCAACTTTACACAAGTCAACTTCAGCTGTGGAAAGTAATTATAGAGAGACATACCCGACCGGAGAAAAGATTCTTAATGTTGAGAAGAATCAAACAAATAAAGAACCTTACACTCAAAGGGATAAAAAGAGCTCAAGAAAAGGACTTACTGGGAACAACACAACAACTAACTCCGATGTGTTGCACAAAAGAACAAAAAAACCACCGTCAGCGAAATCCGAGAAGATAGTAATAAAGCTAGATGGAAAAAAGGGGGCATCAAAAGTGAACAAGGCAAATGATACTGTTCATGAAAATTTTAAGGCTATGGATACTCATGAGGTAAAAGAAGGCATTGACATTAATTATATGCAACGGAACGTCACTGCAAAAATGAAAACAGATGCAATAAAAGAAACCAGTCCTGCTCAGTTCAGTGATAATTCAGTTCTCACGCATCAAAAAAGGTTGACCTCGTCGAGAAAAAACGTCAAAGAATCCAAAATTACGAGTGAGGCAGCGCTAAATACCTTACAGGCAAACAAAACAGTTACCAAGGAAAATACCTTGACCAAAAGGAAAAATGTTTCAAACTCTGAAAGAGGTTTCAGTAATTCACAAAATGGTGGAATTACATATAACAAAGAAGCTACCCGTGGAGATGTACAAAAAGCCCGTTATAAAAATCCAATGCGGATTGTCGTTCAAATTGAGAACAGGACACAAACAAAAAAAAATGAAAAAGGAAAGTTGGTGGATGACATCAGCTTTCCGCTTAAGAAGGAACCTCAGAAAGGTGCAGCCATTTCAGTAGCAAGAGGTGAGTCACAACAGAAGATCATTGTGACCTCTCAAAAGCTAGGAAGTTCGAAAGGAGCCATCCGAAAAGTTACAGAGGAAAAGGCCAAACAGGACCCATTGGACAGTAAAAATGAGACACGAAAAGGTATGCTAGTCACAGTTATGTTCCACAACCAGGCCAACCTTATCATCCATTGCCAAAAGTAACACAAAAAGCCAGTAAGTTATAGGGTATGGACAGGGGTTAACAAGAGCGTATGCTTGGGGGCATACTCTTTGTCAAGAAAATACCATTGATAATTTATAACTATAAAACAACCCATCTTGCCACCAAATGCCATTGAGACCCTAGTAGAAATACCCATCACTGAAATTCCTTCCCTAGTGACTAGGTTCGACTCATTAAGGGATATAGTCACAGAGTTACTCATGATCAAAGGTTGATAGGAACATCTTCAACCCGTAAAGGGCATACTAATGACTATTATACCTGTTTCCCTGTTTTCTTTTTGTCGCTCCTAGCTCCTACCTTTAAAATGCCAGCATTGAAGAATTTCGTTAAATCTTACTTATCTCTACGAAGAGTAGAAGACTAATTTGCCATTCAACTTTATCACAGATCAAACAAATTCAAAAAGCAAAACACTGGAAGAGAAAGAAAAGATTGAGATCAAACCTAACTTAAAGAGAGGGGTACCGAGCAGCAAAGCGAGCATCTCACATGCACCTAACTCCATGCTTGGGCGAAAGGATAAAAAGGGCTCTGAGAACTATATAAACGATACTCAGCATTTACAAGGAAATTCCATCCCAGTTAAAGACGAAAACCGTCACAGGTCTTTCTCTAACAAGATAATGGCAAATCATCGGGAAAAATCTGACAAACTCGAAGGAAGAGACAATGCGACAAATGGCCCAGTAAAAACACGTGTAACGCAAGGTCCAGGAAATGGCGTAACACATGCTTCAGGAAGTGGCGTGACGCGTGATTCAGGAGGCGGCTCAAAAGATTATCCGGGAAGAAGCGTGACACGCGATTCAACTGTTGATACAAGACATGATCCTGGAAGTGGCTCCATTCGAGATCCAAACCCCACATCATCAGATCTACTGACCAAGGCAACTAAACGCCATCATTCAAAGCATGTTTCTGATAATGAAATAGTCAAACATAAAGTATCCCATTCTCCTCAACAAGTGATTGACGCCCAATACAAGCAACTTAGTAAGCTAAAGCCAATGTCAAAGCAACCAAACAAGCCTAACTCGGAGAGTGTTCCACTGCCAAAAGATACTAAATATGGTAAGTATTCATTTCATATATTTATGGATTCAAAATAGATCAGCTTTCTCCGAACCTCCCCCCGAGTGGTAGGTGCACCGGACTTCAGATCTGAAGGTCTGGGCTCAACTATTAAGGAAGTGGGGGATGTGTCTCTGTGTTGGAGTCACTGTGACGTGTTGGGTTACTGTGTTGTGTTGAGGTCATTGTGATGTGCTCTTAAACAAGACACTTAGCTCTCACAGTGCTTCTATTCACCGTGAATATAAATGGGTCCCGGATGTAGAATGGAGCCTTCTAGATCGGGGGCCGATTTCACTTTATTGTTTTGAACTTTGTTTCTAAGCAAGTTCTATGGAAAAAAAGAAACTTTTTCCAAAAAGGAACCCGATTCTTACTGATTTTGGAGCAGTTTTTTCATAATCTCCCTTCTTCCCTTTTAAGAGCATTTCAGCAAGGTGAAGATGTCACCAAAATCGCACCAAGATTTTCAGGCCTCACGGAAAACCAAAGAGGAACGGCCACCTAGCACCTCGAGGTCGGAAGATCACCAAGCAGCTATCAAAGGTAACGGGTGTGATGGTTCATCATCCTTCCGATCCCTATTTAAAATCGTAATACTCAAATTTCAAAAGTCGCGTTGCCAGAATGGGGCCTGAATCTGGAAGAAATCTCGTAGTCATCTGCGACCTCCTTTAAGTAAAATTAAAGCTACAAAGATTAATTATTTGCTCAATTGATTAATAGATAAAAAATAGTTTATCCATTTCACTCTGTTACTGTGCCTTTTCCTTTTCGTGACAAAATGGAAAGTCAACATAAACGTACTGACGCAAAAGCCCAACCCGTAATATTTCATAGCCCTTGAGGCCCTTTAAATCCTACCTGCCCCAATTATCCACTTTTCAATCTGTAATGAAAGGGAAAAACGCCGTAAGCACCATATTCAATATGTTTGCTTTCTAACCCTATTCCTGACCGCCCAGGCCGATTGCCACATGGGAAGAGTATATTGCTTCATGGGAAGAGCAGATTGCTTCATGGGAAAAGCAGATTGCTACACGAGAAGCATCGTCTCCAGAGATAAACATCTATCATGCCCCTGTCTTCATTGATCCTGATATGTTGAAAACGGAGATTAAGGCTTCAGTCTACACATTGACTGCGTTTTTCAAACACCGAAAATGATACTCAGCAGAACTAAGTGTCAAACTGATTGGCCAAAAAGGCTTTACACTAATGATTTTGTTCTATCAAAAGAAATCTCAGGAATTGACGAAAACTCTCCGTCCATGAAAATAAAAAGCAATTTATCTGAGGGTGACCAAAGTCCAAAGAAAGAGGACGAAAAGTCAACGAAACCTAATCCAGGTAAAAGCACAAGAGTTGTGTAAAAAAAGACATTAATAGAGTAGAAAATCAATGAACATCAATGCTAAACGTCAATATGATGACCTAAACTGGCTTACACAATAGATACATATTTTTGTTTGCAAAAAAAATTTCAGTAATTGATGACAAATTGACGTCCAGTAAACTAAAGAATAGTTCTTCTGGAAGGGAACAAACTCCTGCAGAGGTGGACAAACAATCATCGAAATCTCACCAAGGTAAATCTTCAAAAAGATCATCATCATTTTGTTTTTAGCCAATTTCTATACTTCGCTCATTCCATTTTCATTTTAATTCAGTCATTACTGAATCTATTCATCCTTTCATCATCTTATTCACATCTCTTTATCAATGACCAGTTTTTTACCACAAAAACTTCCACGTCGCTTTCCAATTTATGATATAAACCCATAACGTCAACAGGATAATAAATGAACATGTAAGTATTTTTTGTGTTAATTGCAAGCGCTAAAAACATTCATGACGGGGACTAACATCCAATAATCATCTTGTACTGACAGTTGAAGTCTTAACGTCTCGCACTCCTCCCACTTCTCTTCTGACGACTTCAAACGACGATAACACATACAGCATTAAACAGATTGTGCAAGGTATTGATTTTCTCTTTCGCGAACTCGATGTATCCTGTAGTATTTAATTTCAAACTTAATGTTGCAGGGAATTCAGACCCAGCAAGATGCCGCAAAGACGTTTTTTTCTTTTTTTCTTTGCTATATGCATCTCATATGCGCGGTTAAGGCTCGAATGTTTGGGAAGGGGGTGGTAAAATTCTAACACAACTTAATCCAAACTTGAAGTGTGACTTGTTGTTTGACTAACGGACTGACTAATCCTCTACCCGCTACAATTAGATGCTTCGGACTGCGGACTGGTTACGGAGGAAATTGAGAAAGGGGGTCCTGAATATAGATTAGAGTAATAAAGAGCCATGATGACCTCCAGCTTATTGAAAAATATGCAGAATTCAACACGACACATTTTGTGATATTCTTGCACATCAGGACCAAGGGGCTCGAGTTATGTTTACGGAATCCACAACGATGATAAAGTTCATAATTTGGAGAAAAAGGTTTCGAGGCTGGAGAGCGAGGTTACAGTTTTGGAGACAGCGATGGCAGACTTGGCGAAGCGCCTGCTGGTCGTAGAACAAAAGTCAGGTGTGAACAATTGGAATTATGACTCAATCTTTAGTGTTTGATGTTTTCATTCAATAAGGTAGAAATTTATAAGCTGGGATTCAATGGCCACTTGTGTTCCCCATGACCACATGAAGTGTGTAGATTTAGAATGGTGTCTTCTCAGGCAAATTTCAAAACAAGCAATGGTAACACCGAAAATATAACATCCCTGTTACTTGGTGTAAAAATTGAGCTTTTTGGCTACTCCTTTAGAGGAAGCCAGGTCAAGACTGAACCTTTCTAAGGTCTTCTCGACAACTTTGTTCCATTTTATCTGTTTTCTTGTTATCCATTCAATACTCTTCTATCCTCTGCTTCACTTTTCGTACACGGTGGGAAGTCATAGGAGATTTACAGTCTTAAACTTGTTTAACGTTCTACCACACATTCAAAAATGTTCTGGTCTCATTTCAGAAGTCCCTCAGCCAACAATGCCGACCATTATCCACTCTTCCATAAAATCCGAGCCTGAAGAGAAGCATCCAGCTCACAACCAGCAAACTAATGTCTACATTTCAAAAGACGAGGCTCCAAAACTACCAAATCCCGAAAAGATTGTCATACCAATTTCATCTCTGTTCCCCGAAAGATCAGGGCACGTAAGCAAACCTTCTCATTTCATTCATGAGGAACAAGAAACCAAAGGTAAGTAAACTTTTTGTAATTTGTGTGTGATTGAAATTTTTTAAACAAAATCGTGAATTTGTCCAGCTCCTTACCATGTTACTCATCTGCAGAAGCTCAGATCATACACTATATCCAAATCAAAACATTTCTACTCATTAGCTTTTATTACACTGAGTGTCACTAAAGCAAAACATTATGCACCATTACGCATATTAATCATATCAGTTCAGTAAAGAGTACAAAGTATCCAGCTAAACAGATGTAACTCGCATCAAATAACTCATGATTCTTATTACTAAGACAAGTTTACATCAGAGGGACCGTTGCAATTTCACTTTTTGATGGACGTTCAAATTCTACGAGGAGGCAACATTTCCACAAGAGTTATATCGCATCTTACGTTCCTCTGCCTGTAAGGCACATTTGAAAAAGTCTCATTATTGTGATCACTAAATAACTGTAATTTCAGTTGACACTCACCTCGAGAATGAAGAGCAGGTGAAGCCTCAAGATAGTGCTCGGCTAAGTTTGCGTGGAGGGGCTCAATCATCGCCCTCCTCCGAGGCCCACGCGGTGGTGCGCCCCATAGTGAACATCATAGTACCAAACAACAGAGCAGACTTGTTCCCTGATGGAGGTCAGTAGGAGCTTCATTAAATATGACAAAACTTAACTGACCTGACTTGTTGTTGTTTTTAACATATTAATCATTTTCAACATTATCATTGTCATCATCATCACTATTATCATTGCTATCATTGTCATTATCATTATCATTATCATTATCATTATCATTATCATTATTATTATTATTATTATTATTATCATTATTATTATTACACTACCATTGTTAGCTGGCCAAGGTTTTAGGTTTCTAAATTGTTTGCAGCAGCTATTATTATATGTCTTTTTATATTATATCTGTCAATCTACCAGAAGTTCATCGTCAAGGTATTTTATATCTCGACATTGCCTTTGCATTCCTAGAAAACTCAAAACGTTTCATTACATTCCCTAATGCCATAGTTTCACCAGCATGCATTCCAAGATGTCAAAATGGCGGAAGGTGCTTAGAAGGGAACTCTTGTAGATGCCCGACCTTTTTCACAGGGGACCATTGTGAGAGATTTTCTCTCAAGGATCTACTGGAGAGCCCTGATCTCCGGGAGAGACCTTACAGAAAACTCCAACGAATAGTCGTGTCAGAACCACCAGATCGTCAGATACTTGATGGTACTCTAAACTTAGATTCAGGCCCTCCAGCTGCTGTCGAATACAGAGACATAAGCCAGTATAGAGACTTAAATCAAGATACTTTGCCCGCCAAAGAATTTGTAGCCAAGCAACAGCGTACAGAGTCTACTTTACCTACCAATGATGCAGAAATAGATGGCGGTTCAAGAAGAAGACAACTTATCCTCGAAATTTAAAAAAATCCTGTTAGGATTTGAACTGAAATTGATGATTGCATCAATCTGTTAATCTCTTTGAATGGTACCGCGGAAATATCCTTAGTCATCACAATTACTTATGAGGGAACTCAGGCAAAACCACAGACACCGTCATCGTCTCTCATTAAAACTCAAATCTGCCTTCACGGCGGCTTGCAAGGGAGCTGGCGCCATTAGAGACAGCGAGACAAATGCGAGCTAATTTTGTAATCGGCGTCACTCTGGTGATTGCCTTAGTTCCCGAACAAATAACATTTTTTTAGATACCGAAAAAAAATATAGTACGAGAAAAAGAGGGTCATCCTAGCTAAGATCACGCGATCATTCACAGAAAGTTATATCGTCTTCCATTTCATGTTTTCTTACACTTGGGAGATCGTTTTACATATGAGTATGAATAAATGTAAATAGCGGTAGTTTGAAAGGTAAGTAGATTGTAGGAGGAAAAATGAGGCACTAACACAGTGCAGCGAAATGCAATAGGTTTTCTGTCCGCGACAAGCTCGGATTTTCCTTTTTTTAAATATGAATATTTGAACCGAATGAGAAACAACACTAACATTACAAAAGTACGAAACGGGATAAAAAAAAAAGCTATACAAATATGAAACTAAATAAGTACTTTTGACCATTTTCTGAAGATGTGAACCCCTGATAGAGAAGTGTCTATTCTCAAATTTGAAAATAAGAAGGGGCCTAACGTCATGGGACACGTGCAACGGGTGTGGCCAATCACAAAATTTCCAGGTTTGATGGAGGGTTTGTTAATGTTTAGTTGCAGGTGTGATTGCTCATTGAAGCTACATCAAAAAACTTTTAGCCATTTTACGAGGTATTTTACGAGGCAAGGTACGAGGTTTTGGAAAAACATGAAAGAAACCAGAAAAATATTAGTTTGGTATGAGAGAAAAACTTTAAAAAGTGAAGGAAAAACCAACGATAAACGATGGTGACCAAGGATGATGAAGATTTGCAATGATTGCAAATGAGGAATTTTAAACTTGAGGCTTAACTTTTGAGTTGCAAAAGCTGCGACGTAACTTCTTCCAGCCCCCTTATGCGATCCTAATGTAAAACAAATAGATAAAAAACCATGTCAGAAGCCCATTACTTGGGCTCCTGACCATGTAAATATGGCATTTTGGTACAAGTAGCGTGATAGTGACCTCGTCGGGAAAATTGGTTTTTGTAATTTCACTTTGAAAAGTTTATAATAAAATACATTTTTGTTCGTTACGATTTTTTTCCTTGTTATTAATTTGATTAACCATTTTATCACTGTGGAAGACGCAATGGAATGGCTATTAGCGCGTTCAAACTCTTTCCCTTTGCATTTCCCTCAAAAACTAGGCAAAAGTCTTATGGAAAAAGCCTTGGATGCTTTTGCAGTTCACCAACTGCTGATTGGCTCTTTGCAGTTTATAAGGCCGTGCGTGCGAACACAAGGGCAGGTACTTATTCCGGGGCCAGAAAGGAAAATATTTGGCTCGAGGTCATGATGTATAAACCGAGTGCACCCCTGAGGGTCTACGTTAGTAGTTCTTGGCAATCTTACGGATACTGGGATTACTTACCCGTGATTGCAGATACTGGGGTTTAAAAACCGTAGACAGTAGAACCTCTAGGGCCTGCGTAATCCATGTTTTTTTTTGGTCCAGAGAAAAGTTATAAAATTTTTTGTAGTTAGAAATAATATTAAAAATATAAACAAGAGTGAGATTCCATTTTAACTTATGAAGAATGTCACGTAAAAGAAATCATATTTTCAGCGTCCTTGACGTCCAACCACAGGTAGCCCATGCTCGCACATTTGCTTCTGTAATGCGCATATGTTTTACGTTGCGCAATGAGCGAAATATAAGGATGTGTATGGGAATGAATGGTCGCACTCTCAAACTAAAAAATCTGACCTAGGTTTGAGTAGAAATCATCTCACTTAGCTCAACTGGTTGTTCCTTTGCATCGTGTGAATTTCTTGGGCTGATTTAGGGCCGATTTTAGACAGTAACGTCCGATTTTCGACACAAAGGTGCGATTTTAGACACTAGCGTTTGATTTTAGTCACCGGTGTCTGATTTTAGACAAAACTTTGGACACTAAAGTCCGATTTTAGGCCCTTTAGTTTTTATAGTTTTTGGGCGCCCTTTAGTTGTAGTTTCGTCGTCTAAAAACAATGAATCGCTTTATCACGTTTCCTAGCTATGGTTCTTACTATCTAGACTGAAATGTGCTGTCGCGTAAAATGATGGATTTCATGAGTATTTCTGTCATTCCTTTTGTTTCAAATTCTTATTTAATATTGAGGTAGTAAAATGGAGAATTCTCACCATGGTAACGCCTAACCACAGTAAGAATTATTCACTTAAAGTACAGCAGTTTTCACTATAATTTCGCGTCAAATTCGATCTGAATGACGTAAGTGTTGTGACGTAAGACCCTACATAGACTATTCCATTTCAAGTTTGACTTATCCATTTCACTTTTGTATTTTTGGCGGTTACAGCTTAAACCAGCTGCTGTAACACTAAACCATTTCGGTTGGTACCAAACCATTTGTCGTCACGTTAAACCATTTCACTTTACGGTGAGTTTCGTTTAATAAATAGGCGTTGCCTCGTGTTGACAGATTTATTCGATGACAAGAATCGTGATTGGCATTAATTTCAATAAATTGATTTGAAAGCGTTAGATTATTCTGTTTCAAGTCAGTTTTTCAGCAGAATCGAAGTGAGAAAGAAGTTATTTTGTTATCGTTTTTCTGTCTCTAAATCCGCTTACCTGGAGAATTTGCTAACCCATAAAGTGAGACTGTTGTAACGACCCGCCACAGAAGTAAGTTTCTATTGAAGTTTTTAAATTTAGTTACGAGATAAATACTTGATTTGCGTTTGTTCTAATAAGGGAATAACATGACTTTTTTCGGGAATATTGTTTATTTGCGCCCTTGTAGTGTCATTTGCGGCCCGAGCCCTAAGGGCACGGCCCCCAATTGACACTACAAGGGCGCAAATAAACAATATTCCCGAAAAAAGTCATGTCATTATCATTATTATCAATAAACAAGGCCAAATGATATCAAGAATGCGAGTTTTAATAATACAAGCTAAGTGAATGACGAATTCAAAGTCACTTCAAATCATCATGTAAGTGCTGATTGAACAAGCTATTAAAGAATCAACTCAGTCCAGTGAACTTATTGAAAATTACCGAAAAAATGCTTAAAATCGTCTATAAATAATAGGCATATCACAAATGACACTACGCGGGCGCAAATAAACAATATTCTCTCAAAAAGTCATGTTATTCACTGTAGGGCTGATAATGCATTAGCAGCCTGCTGTCGGTCTTTTGCGGCCCGCTGAGCGTGTGTTTTGAAGAGGCCGATTTTCTATTTGGCCGCGTATTTTGATAATAATTGCGAATTATAAATGTATTTCTTTTAGATCGAATAATTATTAAAGCGTGGCTTGATATTATACGGTTTGTGGTGGTCATTTGATCTAACCAGTTCCGAGTAAGTAAACACGGTGAGTAGATTGATGCGATACTAAGCCATTGCGGCTTACGATTAACCATTTGCTGATAACTTAAGCCATTTCACACTACTCTGAACCGTTTGTGTCAAGTCACTGAGCCAAAGTACAGTTAGCTGAACTGTCTGTCATTTCGACATTGAACCATTTCAGTTAACACTTGGCCAATCGTGTTTTTATGGAATCAGTTCAGCAAGGGTGGCTACAAAGTTTCTGAATTGTATAAACCAGTTTTTGTTTGAATATTTCATTTCAAACAGGGCGATTTGCCCATTTGTATTTTAAATAAAGCTCTTGAGATAAGATAAACCGTTCTCCAAAAGACAACTAGACCATTTCTGTTTATTAAAAACTAATTATTGTGCCTGTATTTTTGGCTTTGACACGGCCGCCCATATACCTGTCTTATTTCAGTGAAGGAATAACCTTTATTTTTTTAGAGAAAATGGTTGACTCCACGCGAGTGAATCCGACGCTCTTGGTGGGCGTCGATCCTTTTTTATCCTTCGTAAAAAAAAAATTCCGATCATTGAGTTAAACTGTAAAATTTATTTGGCTTACATTCTGCGCTTTACATTAACATGTGTCCTTAACCAAATATTAACATCATACCTCCAATCCGTATCTGGAAAACATTTATATTATGACGAGAAAGCACAACTTAAATGTTTTGGTTTACTCTCGCCAAAAAGTGCCAAAAAAGTAATTGCCGAAAATTCATCCCCAACACCTCGATCGTACTAGGAGCGCGAACTCACTTCTTCTCTTATAGTTAATAATTGCCAAGCGGACCTCGCATAAATCTTTTTGGTGGGCAAAGCACGTCATGGAGACTCTTGATTTCTACTATTCTGTTACCCTGTCAACCCTGTTTCTTTACGAAAAAATTTAATCGCCAAAAATCAGTTTTTTTTGCATGGGATGTCCGCTTACGAGGGAGTCATGAGGAGCTTTGGCCCCGAAAAAAATTCGCAGCATGCATTCTACAGAGGCGCTATATTTCTGTCATCAGTGCAGAGAATGACATCAACGTTTGCGGTCGGTAGGTGTCTATGCGGCTACTTAAACCTGTTGATTATAAGTTAAAGGTTCACCTAATAATTAATAATTCATCTATGCTCGAATTTCAATCATGAAAACACAAGAAATCTGGCATTGAAATCACTCGGCGCGATCTTATCATGGAGGCCGAAGTCTTCGATCGATCGGCTGAGCTTTCGATAGTTACGGGATCCAATCTCGACCCCAAAAAGTACTGGTATGTGCTAACGAAAAGTTAGTGTGAAATCAGGCCGAAAGCTTTTGCAAAGAACGAATTGTTTCTTCGATTCCGCGATGACTACAATACGTTCGTTCTCGCCAGCAGGTCTCAAGCGCGCCAACAAAGGCTGTTCGTTCAACACCAGGTAACCAAACAACATGCATGTTATATCTTCGATTGGTCTCTGTGCCGGACTAATTAGACAGGGAGAAATCCAGCAGATGGATTCGCGAGGTCTCAAAACATAATCTTGTTGCTGATGCAGTAAATCAAATCGTCCTCGACCGTACACTTTAGGCGGGAAATGCCTCCAGTCGAAATATCATGGGAAATTGCCATGATGTCAGTCAAGAATATCCGAGCTTGACAAAGACATTCGGGAACTAGTAAAGGATAAGAATTATATAAGTTAATGGTGGATGCCTCAACTTTCAGTCAAAAGAAAGAGTCCAGACAAAGAGCGGTCTCCTGATATAAATTAGTGTGAACTCAATTTTTCGTGCCCTCTTGGATGGTGTATACCTGAGGGTTATTTTAATCTCTTGCATACCCTCTTGGGTAGTGTATACCTGAGGGTTATTCTTAGTCTCTCCTGGGGTTATTTTTAACCTTTTCTTATCCTTCTTAACTCGGCAGTCGCGTAAGACGATATTCTTAATGTGAATTTGTTCCCAATGACCTAAAATGCTATAACGATGTTTTAGACCAGCTTCTCCCCTGTAATAGTCGATTTTGGCAAGACTGATGTCTTCGGAAAAGCTAAAAATGCCGTTCCAAACTGAAACCTTCGCACATAAAAGGTCATTATAAGAATAATTGCGTTGCGCCGAAGCTTGTAGACCGAATGGGGAGACTATCAGTTGTCCTCGAACCTTGGCTTGAATTACTTATGCAAATTAGCTGTCTGGACATTGAATGTGCAGCCAGCTAATTTGCATAATATTTTTTTCCGACGCAAAAAACTTTCACTTTCAAAGGTGTCCGGGTCCGCTTACGAGAGAGTGACCATTTACAAGAATGTGTAAATACCGAGCTTGACTGGGAGTCAAAAAAGGAGAATTGAAAAAGTGTCCGTAAATAAAGCTGTCCACTTACGAGAGAGTTGACTGTTCAGTCACCCCTGTGACCAAGGCGTGATTATCATACAGACAATGATGTGATCTTATGATCAAACAAAGGTGATCCCTTGGTTCCATAAACAGCATTTCCATCGCTTCCGATAACGACTATAATGTTTTAAAAACTATTTTGCAATTGATACTGTTAAATTTCAACACTAGGCGCGATAAAAAGCAGAGATACTGAGATTCAAGTCAATTACAAGTCAATTACAAGTCAATCAGATATCAGATGGAGCTATCGACTGAAAACTTAGACATTCAAGCTGGTTTAGAAGCAGATGTCGTGGTTCATCCCATGCAGGGTAACCCGAACCAAGAATTTCACGTAGAAGTGAGTTTGGAACCCGCTGAAAAAGTGCAAATCGTCGGTATTTATAAAGGAGACGACGGCAATTTTCACGTCAAGTTTATTCCTGTGGTACCAGGCACCTACGACATCTTCATAGATGGCGAGAAGCTTGTTGACAGTCATTTTACTGTACAAGCGAAAGAACGACAGATGGATGTTATCAGTAAATTAGAATTGAAGGGAGAAATTCCTAAACAGCCCATTGGAATTGCCGTCAACAGCCAGGGGCTAATCGCTGTTGCTGATATCCACAAACACTGTATCTTTATATTCGGCGAAAAAGGAGATTTCCTGAGAACACTCGGCTGCTATGGAAAGAAACCTGGACAACTTAGCAGTCCCGTTGGAGTAACGTTCCTGAATGATGACGAGATTCTGGTAGCAGATGCACTGAATCACCGCGTTCAACAGTTCAATGTAAAGATAGGTAGGTGTAAAGATTTTGCCCCAAAATGAAGTAGAGTAAGCTTCGAATACGAAATATGTGTGTTTGCTACGTCTGCATTCGATGTAAGACCGAGGTCGCACCGGAGACAAATATTTGGAATTTCCTGTATTACTGATGTTTGTCCAAAAACATGTCCAAGACAATTGGAACGATGCATTTTTAGGGTTGCGCTTGACGAATAAAATTAGCTTAAATTAAGCATTTTAATTGCTTTAAAAAAGGCATAATTGAAGAGAAAGTAGATTCTGAAATAGGAAGTCGGCTTAATCTGTAAAATTTCCATTCTGTCAACAGGTACCTTTGTACGAAGCTTTGGAGGAGAAGGAACAGGAGAAGGAGAGTTTAAAAACCCAGCAAGTGTTTGTATGGATGGCGAAGGACATGTTATTGTGGCCGACTGCTTCAACAACAGAATCCAGGTCTTGACACAAGATGGTGAGCCAGTGCTTAAGTTTGGAGACTACGGCTTAGGAAAGCTTGATCATCCCTTTGGGTGTGTCTTTCACAGAGGCAGATTCATTGTCTCTGATGCCTGGAACAACTGTTTGAAAGTGTTTGACCGTTCAGGGACGTTTCTAAAAAGGATTGGAGAGAAAGGGGAGGCTGATGGGCAGATGTGCTCTCCATGGGGTTTGTGTATTGAGAAATATAGCGATCATCAGAATCTTCTTGTCTGTGACGGAAATAATGGTCGTATTCAACAGTTCACAACGGAAGGTGAGTTCACTGGCAAAACTGTGTGTAAGCTGCAATATCCCACGGCTTTAACCACAACGCCTGATGGACGCATTTTGTGCTGCGATTTACAGATGGGTGAAGTGTTCATTCTAAAATGATTGGTCTGCCATAAACTATTGTGATTAGACTAGGAAATTCGTATTTTCACTGGAATCAATCGGAAGCAAAGCTAAAGAAACGTGACTCGGACACACGCTTTTTCAAGCAATTCGAGTATTTATTTTGTCTTTACTTTATCACGACCAGCTCTTGCGAAACTTTGGCCTTCTGCGCAGACGTCATTACGCTCGCATGTCACGCAATCATTCCCCAGCCCCCTCACAAAAACACTGTTGGGGTGGAACGATTACGTGACGTGACGAGCTTAACAACGTTTGCGAAGGAGGAAAGAGGAACTTTGAATTTTAGTTTTCAACACTCAACTGAAAAGCCTAGCTAGAGATTAAAATTTGCAAGTTATCGAAGAAAACCACCTTTAAAAACAGGAATCGTACTCAGTTTAGGTAATCCTATTGGTAGACTTAGCACCCATATCTAGAGGCCGGACTTATGCTTTTTTATGGAACCGAGTTGAGAGTGTTTTAATTCGTGTGCTTTATGAGGTAGCCGCATGAATTTACACTCACAAGACAAACACGGACTGGAAAGGGATTGATTTTATACTTCAAAGAGCGACAAGTTTGAAATATAGTAAACTGGGTATCTGTTTTTAAGTTACATCGACATTATTCACCTTTCACTTTGCTTTATAGAAAGGATAATATCGAGTGATATAAAAACAAAAAAAAAATTTTGCACACTATAGTCCGATTTTAAAAACTGACGTCAGAGTTTAGTCACCAGTGTCCGAATTCAAACACTGGTGTCCAAAATTGGAGACTAGTTCCTAAAATCGGACTTTAGTGTCCAAAATCGGACTCTACTGGCCAAAATCGAGAAGTTGTGCCTAAAATTAGACACTAGTGACTAAAATCAAACACTAGTGTCGAAAATCGGACGCTACTGTCCAAAATCGGCCCTAAATCAGCCCAAGAAACTCGCTCGATGCAAAGGAACAATCTCTTTAGCAAGGTAAGTTTGGTTTTATTTAAAACTAGTTCAGATTTTCTAGGTTGAGAAAGGGACCGTTTCTTCTCATACAGGTCCTTTCATTTCGGCCATTGAGCAAGCTAAACATATTTGCATGTTATACGGAGGTTCATTTTGTGAGCTTGGGCTACCAGTGGTGAAAGCGTACATCTTGGGTTGATTTCCAAAGCACAAAGAACACTGTTATGGTCGCAATAAAAAAATTACGAGGGAGCATTTATCTGAAAAAAATATTATCCTAGAGCTAGGCACATCTTTTTACATATTATTTCAACTGATTCCTTTCTGTTCAATTTGTTGCATGCAACCTTATTTAATTCCGTCCACTGATTCCTGGAAATTCCTTGGCACGATGTTACGAATTTAGATATTATTTTTTCATCATGATGGTTACCAAAGATGGTAGCTCGTCTAAGTATGAAACTCAGCGGAGATGTAAATTCGAATTCAAGCTTTAGCCGTTTTCCGTCAAAACTGGAGAAAATATGTTTGTTTTTGTACGAGAAAAAAATAAAAGAACTATTCTCCCTTAGAAGGAAATGCGTCATTAGTCTTTCTTTCTAACATGATAAACGAAACTCCAATGCATCCGCATACGATTGTTTCTGGAAATCCTTCATCTTAAGCCATGAATATTATTCGTCGATATTTCTGAAGCGTTTAGCGGAGAAACTTTCGTTTAACAGTGAATGCCGTAGTTCCTAGCCGCCTGTGCACGAATTTAAGTTCTGAAATCTCGAATCTACCTGGTGTTAGGTATGTCGCACATATCACAATCAACTCATTGTTTACTTGTTATTCGCAATTTTACTTACATTTTCATCAAACTATAGTAGTTTTTAAATCAATATGCTTAGCCTTGAAGTACAATCAAAATTTAAAGGACGAATTTCATCATCAAATATTGTAATGACGGCTGAAATGGGGGAAAACTCTCCTAAATTTCTAATTATTTATGTCTTGCATCGTATGATTCCTCTTTTTGTAGTCTATTGAATAGCAGGTTATCAAATGACGGTAAATTTTCTTTGCCTGCCTCTTGTTAATCTAACGGATACCATCACTGCATGCCCTCATTTCAACATTTTATTTTTCAAAAAGAGATCTTTCTCGTATTAAGTTTAGGCGTCTCCAGACTTTTCCACCATGCTTAAGCCATTACAATCCCAAAATTACATTTGCAGTTTTGTTTCACCAGGCAGCTGCATGCAATGGTGAAAAACAATACCAGCATTCATTTGGTAAAAGTGTTTGCAGCTACGTTCCTGGCCAGGTTAGCGCAGTGTTCTCTCACCGACTTGATACAGTTTATGGCGGAAGTGACGTTGATGTCAAACGTTTTGAGTGTTTTTGCCACATTGTGTCTGATTTTTTATATCAAGTTCACGTGTCCTTATCTGACAAGCAATGACAGTACCAGACCCCGCACATTCCACAGTGCTCGTTACCAGATCGTTCCGTACAGCCCCAGGGCAAAACAGGACCGCACTCCCGAGTAAGCGGACAGAATCTTCATTGTCAAACTTTTGGAAAGTATTCCAAAGCGATTGTCAATTTATGTCAATTTTGTTAAGTTAGTCTAATCTTTTGAATTAAAATGTTTTAGTTCAGATTGTAAACCGATCAATCATTAAAATCTTCTTTGCTTCGTAAATTGATTTCAATTTCACCAGTAACAAACAATAAGTTGATTGCGCCAATGCAGTCAGGCGAGTAACGTTGTCATTTTGGTCCCTCCCACTTTTTACTTTGCCCGTGAAATTTTCGGCAAAATCCCAGCTAATTCTTAGCAAAACAAATATTCGAATAACATGCAGTCACCTTATAATTTTAGACAGTCGATAGTATTGATTGACAATTCTCTAGATCGTCACGCAATACGCCAATCTAGAAATACCATCTTGACATGAGGCAATAAATGTCAGTCAATCACTCACAAGATTCTAGAGACACTTCTAGTTTAGGAAGTGATGATCTATAGGTCAGTGAGTCAGTAGGCGACTGCTTTAACAGAAAAATCATGCTGAGATCAAACCACTTCTGCATGGAGGTCAGGGAGTGTAATCTCAACGGTTGGCTTTTGAAAATTTGCTTAAAAAATTCCTTTAATTTATTCTTAAAATTATTAAGTATCGATTGAGGGTTAACTTCTAAAGCATTCCTTGTTTACAAAATGTAAAAGAAACATCAACATGAGTAATATAAATCGTTGGGTAGTGATTCTGTGGTATCACAAAGAACTACAACCACAGGAGCCTAATAATGCCAACTCATGATTTACACTTAACCCTATAACTCCCAACATCTCATTAGTTTTTCTCCTGACTGTCCCCTTACAATTCTTATAATGTTAGTTTGGAGAATTCCGAGTTCAATCAACTAATAAACCACTAACCGATACTTTCCTTTATTCTCGTTACTTGTATGCTTGGAATTGTATTGATATTGTAAGGAGAAATTGTGTCTTCATCACTCATGGGAGTTAAAGGGTTAACTCAATTCTGAAATCTTCTAACATTTACAAGAAACAAGAGAACTGAAACTCGACAAAGGGCTAGAGTATGTGCATCTCTCTGAACCACAATAGTCTTAAAGGCTTACCCACTGTTATTCAAATCCATATCCTCAATGTCACACGCTTGCTTCAGTAGGTTGATCATCTAACGCTTCACAACTAAGAAGTTGCTTCATTCAACTTAACCAGAGCTCAATCTCTGAATTATTAAATCTTGTAAACCCACTGATTAATGGCGCACGCAGGGTTTTTTTTCCAAGCCAGCCATCGAGCACCGATTAGCACCATATTGAACGAGGTACAGGGAGGTGGCCTAGAGAGAGAAATCCCAATAGTCAGAGGTTGCCCCTACTTCCTCAAGCTGGTCTCAAGCCTTACATCAAACATCAGTATGCACATTCTGCATTCCATCCCTTTATATTCCTCAGGTGCTGTCAAGGAGAATTCATGTAACAATCAAGAGCGTCTTTACTTAGTGATCATTTCCTCAATTCTCATGACCTTAATATTTGATTCAGGGGCGACATTGTTAAGAGAAATTAGATACAGTCATTCTATGACATCAAAGAGTTAAGAAGGCCTTCTCTGATTTAATAAGCCTGTGAAAATGATATAGAATTTGCAAGCCTTCTGTTACCACAGGATCCTAATCAAAACACTTGGAAAAGACCAATAAGAGACTTACCCTTATGATACCATTATATTGAGGATTACCAGTAAGTCAGATGAAAATACAAAAATGTCAGATGGTAAGAATCAATACTGAGATCTTGGAGAAGAAGGTTCGTATATGCTCATGATCATCAATTAGATAAACTCAATCAAAAGAAGGAAAATGTTTGAATTGGGTGGAATGCTAGATGGCAAACATGATCAAAACTAAATTCCTTACAATTTACTCGGTTTTGAATGACCATCAGCACTGCTCTACAAATGAAATTATCCAAACAACAATTTAAGTAATCCAGACAAAATGACTCAATATACTTACATGAATATGGCTTTAATTTTTAAATTACAATACTCATGTCAATAGGAGATCCTTTCATGCCCGGCTTTTATTTTAAACAAAACACCAGAAGCACAAAGTTGTTTAAATGCTTCTTCAAAACACACATAAAACAATCACAACAACAACAACAACCAATGGGGGGGGGGGGAACACTTTCAAACTGTGGAATCACTTGGGCTGATGACATTGAACAGCCTCTAAATATGTCTGAATCCTTGTACTACTCTGTGATGCAGCTTAAGATTCCATGCTGATAAGTGTTCTTCAGAGGGTGATATCAAATATCAACATCTTGCAGTTCTTCTGCTTTTATATTTTGAAGAGGAGATCTCCATTACTGTACACACTTAGAAAAGCAGTTTTCATTGTTTGCATATTTCACCATATTTTATGTCAAGTTCCCGTAGAAGTCAATGGCTTTCATAAAGAAACACTTGTTGCAGTTGAAGAGAAATATTTATAAATCTTTCTGAAGATTCCCGTCATTCAGGAAGTTTTCTTTCAGTGGAAAATGTCCGCCAAAACCCACTAGTAATAAAAGATTTGTGTCTTCAAGTGATAGGGTACGTGTAAGACTCTTATTGTTCATCTTTTCCTGTAATTTTCTTAAATAACTATCATATAGGCCTGACAGCTTCACACTTGTTGCATGCACAGGGTCTAAAAGCTTGTAACTAGGTCAGTTCTTGTAACATTATGCCAAAAGCTCCATCATAATCTTCCTAACTCAATGAAGATTAGTTTCAAATGTATTCCATCGCACAAAGAAGGATTTACTGTGGGGGTCCTCCCCCACGGCGTCCACCACGATCACCTCTGGGGCCTCCTCGTGGTCCACCACGAGATCCCCTTCCAGAAGGTCCACCATGTCTCTGGTCCTGAAATAATTCAAAACAATAATATTTACCATACAAATAAACACAATAATCTAGGAAATGCAGTTGTCCATAGTTAGTCTGCCTGGTTTGACAAAGGTTTGCCTGATATCTGAAAAATTCAATCATCAGTAACTGTCCATCACAAATGGAACATTCAGCTTTATAACTGACGGTGAATATTGAATTTGAAGTATGAACTATTTTTATGACACTAGGGGCAAGAAGCAAGAAAAATAAGAACAGACCTGTTGTCCATATCCCCCTCTTCCACCACGAGGAGGTCCTCCAAATCCTCCTCTGCCGCGCCTATTTCCCCTCTCACCAGGTGGACCCCCTCTACGATTGTAACCATCTCCTCTTCGGTATCCACCTCTACCTCCACGTCCTCCACGTGAATATCCATTAGAATGATGCACTGTGTCGAAACCTGCTGAATAAAGCCCATCTTAATTTCTGTCAGGGATTCACTTAACCAACTTCTAAGTTAACTAAACAAGACTAGTACTTATCTCCTAAATCATTCATTTTGGCAGTAAGGTGGATAAAAATGTATTCCACTCACCAGTGTCATCCCCTTGATCACCTGGTGTTCCTTCACCCCCCTGATCACCCCATCCTTCATCTCTACCTGTATTGCCCTCAGGGGGAGCTTGTTCACTCTGTTTTTCAAGAGCTGGGGGTATTTCTGCAGAAGCTGGAGGTTTGGATTCGACCTCTGATTCACTGAGGAAGTTCAGACCATGTTCATTAGAGACAAACATTGCAACATTTCCACCTTCTTTCACTTTTGTTGTTGTATTGTTTCCACCATTGACTTGAGAATCTGAGGGTCCATTTGTTGATTCCACTGTCTGGTTCTATAAAAAAAAAAAAAGAAGGTCTGGATATGAACAGATATGCAACAAGTTTAAGAAAATGAACAACACTTTTAACCCTTTAACTCCCATGAGTGACCAAGACAGAATTTCTCCTTACAATGTCAGTACAATATCAACCAGATAAGTGATGAGAATAAAGAAAAATATCAATTTGGGGATTGTTCATTGATCCAGTACTTAATTCTCTGAACTGACATTATAAGAGCTGTATGGTTGACAGTAAAAAGAATCAAAAATTTGATCTGGGAGTTAAAGGGTTAAAAAAATGTTTTGGTAGTTCTTCTGTTGTCTTCAGTTCTGAATAATACAAAGTACAAAGTTGAATTTCAAGTGTGTAACAAAATGCTGATTGGACAAAACAAACAATAGTAAATAGAACAGAAATAGTAAATGCATACATTGTTCTGTTACTAGTATCTGTCCCTAAAGTAAAAGAGTAGGAGACAAAGCAATACACAAGTTTTCATCCTTAATTTAC